TCCGGCCCTCCCAGGGGCCCCTGGCAGGCCTCTGCTCGCCTGCCCTCGTCCCCAGCACTGCCATCCCCCTGCCCCATCCCGCCCTGGGCCAAGCCCAAAGCACAAAGCCAGGCGCCCTGCCCGCAGCTCCCCCATCCCCAGTCCCCGGGCACGGGGGTCCCCCGGGGCTGCCCCATGTGCCCCAGCATTGGGGGGTTGGAGGGGACCCCCCCGCCCCGCATCTCTGGCCCCATAGTTAAAGCCATATCAGTTAGACTGCAATACTTCAGCACCAGGAGGAGCGGGCGCCACGCTCCGCCGACCATGTACAAAGGCACGTGCGGGGCAGGGACCCTCCTGCCTCGTCCCCCCCCTCCCCATCCCCACCGCTCGCTCGTCCGTGTCTCAGCCCTGCTGGCCCCCGTTCTCGCATTAGTGTCTCTGTGCCAGGGTGCGCCCCGTAGCTCCATGCGTCCTCGTGTCCGCTGCTCACGCTCCCACCCCCCGAATCCCCACCGTCCCCAGGACAACCCGTGGCGCTGAGCCGAGAGCCCCCCACCGCGCTGCCGGGGCCCCCACTCTGCCCCCTGCAATAAAGCCAGTGCGGGGCCGAGGGCTGCCAGGCCAGTCCCGGGCTGGGAGTGCTTGGCTGGCCCCACCCGACGCTGGACACACGGGTCCCCTGGGCCTGAGAAGGGATCCCTGGGCAAGCACCCCAGGCACGTCCCAGGAGCCGCTGCTTGCACCCCAATGGGGGGATGCAGGGGCACGCCCTCACCCCATCCCGTCCCTTGCCGTACTGTGCTCCTCCCTCCCCGTGCTTCCTCCGCCACAGCCCCCAGCTGCTCACCAGGGCCCTCCCCGGGAGGTGGCGGGCAGCTTGGGGCCCTGCAGACATGCTGTGACCATCCTGCTCGAACTAGTCTTTGACAAACTAATAAAATAAAGGGATTTGTACATTGCTCCAGCCTCTTCTCAGCCATTGCTTCCCTGGGGCCCTGCGCCAGCTCCCTCGCCCCTCCATCCCCCTCAGGGCTGAGACCTGGCAGCTCATCACACTAGGGGAAGGGCACAGGGCCCACCCTGGGCAGCACCCAAGCCAGGCCACAGGCGAAGGGAGAGGCCACAGGCAGCTCCCAGAGCCCTGCTCAGCCCGGCTGCCTCCCCACACCCCCGTGTCCACCCTGCAGGCGCCCTCTCCGGAGTTGGGGACAAGGTAAAAGGGATGGGTGCTGCTGGTCCCCCATCCCACAGATGTGGCAGGGGGGCTTCTGCCCCTTCCCCCTGACTCTGGGACTCCCCTCACAGAATGACTGGGGATACCCTTGGGGTACAAGGGTCATTTCTGGTGGGTCACAGCCTTCTGCCCCCCAAGCGCAGGGGCACGAGGCTACAGGCAGGCCCTGGGGCAATGGGGCACCTCGTGCCCCCAGCAAAGCAGGGCCCCTGGCAGTGCCCAGGCTTGGCACAGCCCTGGAGGCCTCCCTCCAGAGCCAGCCTCAGCCTCGACTGATTTGCCATCATTTACCAGAAAAGAGCTCAGCTGTTACCCAGGCAGCATCAGCAGAGCAGTCACCTGGAAAAGCTCCTGTCAGAAAAAAATATTAGGGTAGGAAATGATAGAGATCTTGCAGGCAAGGTCTCCATCGCAGGCAGGCTTTGCCCACACCTCCTCTGCGGTGACCGTCTCTCCTGTGACCCAGCATGCCGGGGGGGGAAGAAAGCCCCACGGCTCTCCCCAGGGAGCAGGGATGCGGAAGCCCTGACAGGGGCGCGGGGAAGGGCTCTGCTCGGGGCCAGTGGCCATGGCGTGGGAGAGGCGGCATCTTCTGCTGGAGCCACGGCCCCGCTTCCATCCATGCGGGGTGCTGCCAGGCAGGAGCAGGGTTACGGGAGCGGGACAGGTCCCTGCAGCCGTCCCCATCCTGTGCAGTCACTGGTGTCACTTGTCCCCAGCGTGGGGGCGCAGCGCCCCCTGGTGGGGAGACAGCGCAGGACAGGAGACGGGGACAGTGGGGACAAGGGGGACAGCCCCTGGACACAGACCCCTCAGCCAGGGCCTTGCCATGGCCGAGGGGAAGGAGGCAGGGGAGGAGCGGGACAGGTCCCTGCAGCCGTCCCCATCCTGTGCAGTCACTGGTGTCACTTGTCCCCAGCGTGGGGGCGCAGCGCCCCCTGGTGGGGAGACAGCGCAGGACAGGAGACGGGGACAGTGGGGACAAGGGGGACAGCCCCTGGACACAGACCCCTCAGCCAGGGCCTTGCCATGGCCGAGGGGAAGGAGGCAGGGGAAGCTCGCGCGGGTCGCAGCAGAGCAGCCCAGAACTGACATTCTTCCCCCCTTCTGCCCCACAGCAGCCACAGGCACCTTTGTTACGGAAGAGGATTTATCAAAATTAGAAAAAACAAAAAAAACAACCCCCAAACAAAAAAAAAAAAAAAAAGCCCCAGCTGGGGAAGCATCCCCCAGCTCACATCCCCCCACCCTCCCCTCGCTGCCCCAGTGCGGGGAAGGGACACAGGGTGTCTGGGAGGGGAAGGGGCAGGCTGTGCTCCCAGGGCTGCCCTCGCCACCAGGCTGTGGGGCAGAAGGGGATGGTCATGTCGCTTATCACCGCTGGGGAGCCTGGAACTCCTCTCCCGGGAGTTACCTCAGCAGTCACCTTCAGTGACTGACATTCTTTGGCCACTTGCCTTTGGAACAAGCCCCCCATGCCCCAGAGAGGAGGCGGTGGCAGCCCTGAGACGGCGAGGAGGGCTCTGCTAGCATCACCTCCCGCCCTCCCCAGTACACAAGCTGCTGCTTTTATAAATGCTCCTGAGAGCAGTACACACAGACCTGAGCCAAAGGTCACAGCACTGCCAAGCAGGCAAGGAGGGGAGCCATCTCCTTACCCCCTCCTACACTAACTAAGCAGTCTCCCATCCCCGAGAGCAGGGAAGCGTTGCCTCCCCCAGTGTGGTTTCATTAGGAGTCATTGGGGAGCCCGAAGAGCTTGACGGTGCCTGCCTCCCGGCTGCTGTCGTATTTGCCATCTTTGTCGTCACAGGCAAAGGCCAGCAGCGGCCTCTTCGGGTGCCAGGCCACTGTGAAGGTGGGGGACTCGCACTGCACCTCCCAGAGCTTCTCTCCTGCATGGAAAAGGGGCCACATCAGCCTGGAGAGCCTCCGGCTCCCCGCTGCACACTGCCCCATAGCGCACACTGGAACCGAGCACTCGCTTCTTCTCTCCCGCGCAGGGAAGAAGAGGAACAACACTGCTTCAGTGCCTTTTAATCACCTGGTGACAAGGCACAGACATGACACGCATGTCTACCACAGAATAATGAGGCAGAGGCTCCCCCTCACAGCACTCTGCTCTGCGCAGCCAAGCTCTTCATTAGCAGACCGATTCTCCCAGTGCCCTCCCAGCTCCACCAGCACTTCTCCATCCGATTCCCTCCTTGCTGTTCCCCAAAAGGAAACCGTTACCTGTCTCCACCTCTGCAATGTCTATGAAGTGATCTTCTGACGCTGATGCCAGCATCTTCCCATCATGGCTAAAGCTCAGTGTTCGCACCGGCCAGTCAAGCCTGCAGCAACAGAGCGAAGCAGACAGTGAGCCATCTCCCACACAGTCACCGGAGAGGGAAGGCAAACAACTTTGGGACAGCACTACCTACCTTGAGAAGCACCTCACACACACGAGTTCATCCACATCCCAGAGGCTGACTAATGCGTCAGCACTGCCCGTGGCAAAGTACTTCCCCATGGGATCAAACTTGATGCAGATGCAGTTTGAAGGATGGGCGTTGATGGACTGAATGGGTTTCAGCTCCGGGTAGCTGCGGAGATGAAGGGAGAGGGCAGGAAGCAGTGAAAGGAATCTAGGGCTCGTCTGCAAGCAGGGCAGGCTTGGGACTGGGACTGTGAGCAAACCAAGCTGGTGCAGGGCCACACTCTTGGAAACCTTGAGAGCTGAGTGAATGAGGCAAAGCACCAGGGTCAGTCTCAGGGAGCCCAGCCCAGAACTGGGACAACCTCAGCTCCAGGCAAGTTCGTTCCCACCAGAGGGCTGGGAATCGCTGGGGTGTGGGACTCGGGCTCCCCAAAAGCAGCAAAGGGGCTTGGCAGGCTGATGTCTGCCACAGCCAGCCCAGCTACCCTGCCCACCCACTGCCACAGGCCCCTACCTGAGGATGTTGATGCAGCCGTTCCCATTAGTGAGGAAGAACATGTTGTTATCATTGTTCCAGGAGATCTCATTCACCTCAAACTTGAACTGTTCCTCAGCTTTGGAGCGATGAGTCTTGGCATCAATGAATGTGACCACGTCATCCTTGTTCCCGACTGCAATGGTCTGTCCGTCAGGGCTCCAACAGATGTTGATGTTCTCCCCTGGAGGGACAGAAAGGCAGCAGGTCCCGTTTCCACCCGACAATCCACAGCAGCCACGAGTTAAGCAGACAGGCAGCTTTTATTCCTGATCCAAGGCCACAATCTGCTCCGAACTCCAAACCACTCCCAAATGGGAAAGACTGCCAGGTCTGCAGTCTAACACACAAACCCTATAGAGTAGCTGTCCAGCAAATGCATACAGTTATTGAAAATTAAACTTAACAGAACCACAGCTTCAAGCCAACATGACTACATCACTGCCCTTCCCATTTCAGCCAAGATGGGACCACAGTGACCACAAAACAAGGTCAGCTCGAAGATCCTCTTAACCCAGTGATCTTTGAGATCCAGCAAAAGCAGAAGCCAACAATAAATACATACGAAGGACAGTAAGAACACGGCACGTTTCTGTTTGCCATCTTACAACGCCATTTCCAGCCCCGACAATTCAAAACTGGAGATCTCCAAGGGCAGAGATGGTATCTGGGTTAACCAGCCCATGAATTCAAATAATTGCTTTCTGAATCCATGCGAACTTTTACTTCCATCATGGCTCTCTGCAAACATGCCTTTCCCCAGTCTCCAGCCTTGCCGCCCACAGACTCCAGACACGAGTACACAGGACATTTTAACAGCCAGCATCGTACTTCAGTAGTTTCTCCAGTCCTGACACCAGAGTAAATCAGCCCTCGTGTTCACTGCTGCTCCTTACAGATGAGTGCAACACAAAGATAAAAGCAGTCAGCAAAGATGCCCCGATCGCCAACACCTACAAGAGGGTCCAAAGCACTGTGCCACTGCAGATGGGTCCCATGCAGCAGAAGTTCTGCCGGGACTCAACAGCCCTCCCGGGAAGGCAGGGACCCACCTTTGGTATTGACAGTGGCGATGCACTTGGTGGTGCGGACGTCCCAGATGCGGATGGTTTTGTCCCCGGATGCCGTGACGAAGAGGTCAGGGTTGCTGGGGTGCCAGCAGAGCTGATCCACGCTGTCCCCATGGCCCCGGTAGTTGTTCTCCTTCACCTGGAGGGAGAGAACAGCCATTCACGGGAGGGATGAGCCCAGCTCTACCCCCCTCCTGCCCCGGATCCCAGTATGCTGCACCCTGCTCTGCTGCCAGTTACCGGATGGGGCGGGAGCCCAGCCCAGCACCCCACCGCCATTGCACTCACGCTCCCCACCCACGGCCGGCCGGGATAGAGCAGCCCTCCCCACCCCCCCCAGCCAGGAACCAGCTGCAGTCCCGGC